GCTTGATTGAAAATAACATTAGATTAATAATGAATAGCTTTTTGAATGGTGAATACGTAAGGAGAGGTGAAGAGACGTTTTCTCATGTTTCCTCTTTATCTTCGTGCATTCTTTCTAAAAGGATAAGTGAACAAGTAAGGAAGTGGGGAATAAAAATAGTTTTCAGGGAAACCACGACACTTCAGTCATGCCCACTTTTAGAGATTAAGTTGACCCATCATCCAGATTGGGTTGCTACAAAATAATGTGTTCATGTGGTCGCTTTTATGCTGGAGAGACTTGTTATCCCATTCGACAAAGGGTGGCTGAACACAAAAGCACCTGCAAAGGCTGTTTGGTTCGAAAATCGGAGCTTGCTGAGCATAGGCCATAAACGGGACATGAGATTGAATGGTCTCACACTTGTCGTTTTGCTGATTATGGTATGTTTGCGGCTAACGTAAAATTAGAAAAGCCATAGAAATAAACCGAATAGGAAATACCTTAAATGTAAGGAATGCCGGCTAGAAGATAAGTAAAAATTATTTGTGCTTAGTTAATAGACTGAATGATAGAGAGGGAGTTGAGACGCCATAAAAAGAAGACGACGCAACTAGTCTTTTCTTGTCTAGGTTCTAATGATAGTCTTTTCTCTGTACTTTTAGCTCACTTTTTTCTCTTGCTTTGAGACCAAAAACCAAAAATAGGCTCATCAACAAAACCAGGCATATGTCCGACCTTGTGCAATCGGAGTGATGGTTATAACATGCATGTATAAAGGGGGAGATAGGGGTCATCAAACCTTGATGGCCAAAAACAGACGTTCCTTTTTGCTGTCCTAATTACTTTGTGTCGTCACTGCGGGTTTCGTGCATAAGCGAACACAAACACATACATTGACAGATACACTCACAGGCATCTAACTTGTCATATGACCTTAACTAACCAAATCACTTTATACTTGATCAAGATGTTGAGTATATATACCACTTTTTAGGGATTTGCCGGTTAGTTTTTTTGACTCGCTAGCTTGATTTTTGTTGTGACGATAATACCCTGCTCTGATGATGTTCGCCATATGACGGACGAAAGCTTAGCATCTTTTCACCGGAATCGAAGGAGATTACCTTGGAAACAGCGTCAGCATGAATCTTCCAGTAAAGTCAATCGACAGCTGGTCAAGAGGAATCTGCCGTCGTCTTCTGGTGGAACTAACGTTCGAATCTCTTTACCCAACACCTTAACTCGAAATGGAAGTAAGCTCACTAACCTTTTGTTAAGCTAGGAGCTGGCTACTTTATTGTTCTTACTGTTCAATGCGTTTATCCCCTTACAGCCTCTTTTCAAGAAAAAAGAGCTCTAAAGTATAAAAAATATCTAATATTTATAATGCCCTTACCATCTACAAGTTTTGCGTTTTTTGAGACGAATTTATAAATTTGTCTATAATGCTCACGTAGTCAACCTAGTAAAATATAGAAGTGGGTTGACCTC